GGTCCTGCTATTTATCAGAAACATATTCCTTCTTGTAGACAGTGAAGTTTTATTGATAAATCCATACTAAATTTGGATTAAATCTTGAATGCATGATACGTTGACCAAGTCAAATTACTGGTTAATAAAGTCGGATTAATATTTATGTCAGAATTATATGACTTAAATCAAGTCCAAATAACATTTGGGCCAGTCCATTAAAATTGACAAGATTAGCCCAACTCATGTTCTTCAGGCCCAGGGGTCAAAATTGCTTGGACCAAAATACCCCTAAAGTCCTAGCTCAAGCCTATATAAAGAGGTCTTCATAAGACCAAAAGAGATATACACATAAATCCACACAAAAATACATAATTGCTCTTCAGTGGTGATCTGCAAGTCTTCCGCATACAAAGAAGTCTTCGCTCCAAGTATTGAGCAACAAGTATTCCGCCAAATCAAGAACATTTGTGGAGAGAAGAATCAGGGGATTACATATCTTTTTAAGAGATTTTATAAAGATTGTAACCTTCACATTTATTCAAATACAAATATTATTGTTTGCTTGCTATTTTTCTTTTCCTGTTTACTGTATTTCAAGATTGAAACTTTAGACGCTTACAAATTGGCACGCCCAGTGGGACAATCTTTATCTCTCATCTCTTCTCTTCAAGACAACCAAAGTTCAAAAACACCGATATGACTTGCAAGAAGATCAACTTGAAATCCGCATTTACATCCAAATCTGGATCTACATCCGTATCCGCATCTGTATCCAAATCTTGATCTACATCCGTATCCGCATCTGGATCAAAATCTCCATCTGCATCTGTATTCACATCTGCATCTGCAAAAACTGATGGATCCAAGTTCTGCATCGATGTCGAAAACATCCTCGATGTTACTGCGGGAAGCATGGGACCTATCACAAGGAACCAAGCCAAATTGCTGGGACAACAAGCCTCATGAGTGCCGTCCGAATCTGCTACTGTCTTTGGTTTGTCTCCAAAACATGTGAAGTCTCCTGCAAAAGCTGCAAAGGAAAACATCGCCGAAATGGTCGAGAGGGTTCTTGCCCAATTGAGCCCATCTACATATGAGAAGTCCTTCGATTCGACTGACAATGGTGTCTTAAGCACGGGATCTACCCCACATAACATGTTTGCATCTCATGTTAAGGAAAATCAATGCTACTCTCTGCCACCTACTATGGTAATGCACGCAATGGTGACTAACGCTTCATCTATAGAAGAACAACTTGTGAGCTTGACAAGAGCTATTGAAGGCTTGACCAAGTATGTTCAAGATCAAGATGCTCGAATTGTTAAGCTAACTGATAGGATGAAGGGCATGATGGATGAAGAATGAAGTCACGTACCTGGAAAACGTCCGCAAGTCCAAGAGACAGTCGATCGCCCCACAAAGCAAGTTGAATATGCTAAAGAGATCCAAGTTTCTTTGGAAGGAAAAATCCCGATCAACCAAATAAGGGAGTTCATAGGTTGCTACAAAATCCTCCTTGACATATGCAAGGCCATACACAGCAAGGATTGATAGTTTGAAAATTCCTGCCGGTTATCAACCTCTAAAGTTTCAGTAGTTCAATGGTAAGGGAAGCCCAAAGCAACATGTGGCGCACTTCATTGAAACCTGCAACTATGCTGGAACATACGACGATTACCTCGTCAAACAATTTGTCCGCTCCCTTAAAGGCAATGCTTTTGATTGGTACACAGACCTTGAGTCTAGTTCCATTCATGGTTGGGAACATATGGAGCAAGAATTTATCAACCGTTTCTATAGCACAAGACGTACTGTAAGCATGGTGGAACTTACAAACACACGTCAGCGAAATGAAGAACCAGTCTTTGAGTTCATCAACTTAGTGAAGCTTCGGGCATAGAGATGTGTATTCAAGGTATGCATTGGGGTCTCCGCTATATTTTGCAAGGCATAAAGCCTAAAATTTTTGAAGAGTTGGCCACTCGCACTCATGATATGGAGTTGAGCATGTCGTTGGTCGGAACTGAAGCACCACCTGTCCACAAACTCCACAAAGTCAAAGAAAGGCAAGAATTCAAGAAAGTGGGAAAATATTTGCCAAAGACTGAAAACAAAGAATCCATGAACGTCAATGCCTCTCATGTGAAATTCACCACAAGAGTGGGCAATACGCAGAGCGAAAAATTGAATTCTTTTGAAGGAAGGACAAATCAAAAGCTCACCTTGAAGGAAATGCAGCGAAAGGACTACCCATTTCTTGACTCAGATGTTTCCGCAATCTTTGATGAACTCTTTGAGATGAAACTTTTTGAGTTACCAGAGATGAAACGACCAGATGAAGCAGGGAGGAGTGATGATCCAAAATACTACAAATATCACCGGCTGGTTGGACACCCTATCGAGAAATGCTTCGTCTTCAAGGATAAAATTCATGGACTTAGCTTGCGAAGGGAATATTGAACTTGAAGATGAGAAATTGAGTTCAAACCAAGTCAGTGTCGCTTCTGACTTACCCAATCCGGTCATGACCTGCAATTTTGTTGAAGGAAATATGGAGCAAGACATTCCAAACACCAATCAGACAAGAATGATTAAGTTTGGAGACTTTGAGCCCATTGAAGTAAATAATTTATTATCTCTTCCTATACTAAGTGATGTGGCCTCTGTAGGAGAGGGATCGACAAGACAAGATAAAGACCTAGTAGATGATTTTGATGATTGGGGTTGGACTCTTGTGACTCGCCATAGACGCAGAAAAGTGAGTTCGTATAAGGAGTCAACAAAGCAACACGTCAGGGAAAAGATGGTAAGGAGACCCAAAACCAAAACATTGATCGTGCATTCAAAGAAGAAGGAAATAAAGATGCACAACTACCAAGAGCTACGGAGACTCGTTACATTAGGAGAATATTTGCCAAATTGGTGTTACACCAAGTTCACATGCGATGGCACAAAAGCTCTATGTTGTAATGTCGATGAAAATGAAGCGAAAGATGAAACTCCATCATGTCCATCACCAAAAGATGCTCCACAGTCATCTCCTGGAGTCGAAAATGCATGTATGGCCAAAATAACATTCTCTGACGATGATCTTCTATTTGGTGACAAATTTCATAATCGCCCTTTATTCATGGTTGGTTTTGCAGGTGAGAAAATGGTGAATAAAATCCTAGTCGATGGAGGATCTGGAATCAACATCCTTCCAATTCGCACAATGAAAGAACTTGGGATATCAACAACAAATCTTACTGATAGTCGCTTGATGATCCAAGGATTCAATCAAGGAGGACAAAGGTCCACAGGGACCGTCAAAATAGACCTTACCATCAGAGAGTTGCAATCAAGTGTGTGGTTACATGTAATTGATGCAAAGACTTCATATAACATTTTGCTTGGTAGGCCGTGGGTACATGAGAACAAATGAATCCCATCTACCTACCACCAATGTTTGAAGTATTATGAGGATGGAGTTGCAAAAAGGGTTATTGTGGATGATAATCCATTCACTAAAGCTGAAGCTCACTTTGCTGATGCAAAGTTTTACTTGAAGTAGTATTCCATAAAAGTCGATGCCATTGCATCCGGAGATGTCGGACTCCCTAACAATATAGTTAAGGTAGCGGTCGGTAAGGCAAAAGTCGCAAACAAGGAAGATTCAAAGCTTGGCAATCCAAACAAGATACCTAACATGATTGGTGCCTTTTCAAGTAAAAAGGTCACACCCATTCTTCGTTATGTCCCAAAGGCAAAAGAGAACAAAGGACACTCTCTCGAGTTGCGAGAAAATGCGCTGGACGGGTTGACCCTTCCTGTAAGGCAAATTGATACGGTGAAGTCATCCACAAAATTACTTGGGAAGTCTGTGGCTCCTAAGTCATTATTTCACGGAAAATTTGTGGCCCCTAAGTCACCCCTATATGAAGCACTCCTAATGAAGCATACAAAAGAAGGTTTTGATCCTAATGCTTACAGGCTGCTAGCAAAAGCTGGATTCGATCCAAACGAACCGTCAAAATTAGGGAAGCTTCCATCAGAATCTTCTATGAGGCAACAACGTGAAGGGTTGGACTACAAACAACCTCCACCTATCCGCAACTCCATAAAAAGGGTAAGCAACAACTACATAATTGTGGAAGATGAGTCTACTAATTCTAACAAAAGGCCTTCTGTCTTTGATCGACTTGGAAGCTCAACGAAGAGGATTTCTATATTTGAGAGGTTAGGTCCATTGAGGAAGAAAAACAAGGTTTGGAGAAATAGCAAGAGTATTCAAACATCTGCTTTACCAAAATCTCAAAATGCTCCTAAAGACTTTCAAAGTCTAATCCCTTCTAGAATGAGGCGGCAGACGAACATTGTGGTCTCATGTGGAGAAGTACTAAAGGCAAAGTCGCATGTTATGGTCTACACCAAGCAACGTGATGAAGATGAATAAAATGTTGGCTCTTCATATCATGTCACTACACAAGATGAAAGGCATATTTTTTCTCCAATTAAAATTGATGGAGAGTTGGATAATGTTTCATGGTGTTACCATATATCTTTCAACGATGGAGAACCTCAAGAAGATGAAGATGCTAAAGATGCGCCACCCGGACTTGAAGAAGGAGTAAAGGTGACAATTGATGCATTGAAAGAAATCAACCTTGGAATTGATGAACATCCAAAACCGACTTATGTGAATGCTTCACTGGCGAGTGATGAAGAAAAGGCCTACATTGACTTACTCAAAGAGTATAAAGATGTATTTGCCTGGATTTACAAAGAAATGCATGGATTAGACCCGAAGATAGCAATCCATCATCTTACTGTGAAAAGTGGTGCACGTCCCATCAAGCAAGCTCAATAGTGTTTTAGGCCTGAATTGGTTCCCGTGATCGAAACTGAAGTTAACAAGCTTATTGAGGCTGGCTTTATCCGTGAAGTTAAGTACCCCACATGGGTTTCAAGTATTGTCGCCAAAGGATGAAGAGTTGACCGCATTCCGCATTCCTAAGGGCATTTATTGCTACAAAGTAATGCATTTCGGTTTGAAGAACGCAAGAGCAACATACCAAAGTGCTATGCAAAACATCTTTGATAACATTCTTGACAAAAATGTTGAATGTTATGTTGATGATTTAGTAGTGAAATCAAGAAAAAAGTGTGATCACTTGCAAGACTTGAGGATGGTGTTTGATCTACTACGAAGGTATCAACTTAGAATGAATCATTTGAAATGTGCGTTTGGAGTTACCTCTGGAAAATTCCTTGGCTTCATTGTACAACATCGAGGAATAGAAATTGATCAAGTAAAATTAGATGCAATTCTGAAGATGGTAAAGCCAAGAAATATTCATGAATTGAAGAGTCTACATGGGAAGCTAACATATCTTAGGAGATTCATCTCGAATCTAGCAGGAAAGTGCCAACCATTCAGCCGCCTTATGAAAAAGGGCACTCTTTTTGAATGGGACCAAGCTTGTAGTAATGCCTTTGAGAGCATCAAGTCTTACTTGACAAAACCACCAGTTTTAGCAGCTCCTGTTCCTGGAAAGCCATTGATACTTTACATATCAGCTCAAGAAAGATCAGTGGGAGCACTTTTAGACCAAGAGAATGACAAAGGGAAAGAAAATTCCCTTTACTACTTAAGTAGGAGGATGACACCAAATGAGTTGAAGTACTCGCTAATCGAAAAACTATGTTTGGCCTTAGTCTTCTTAATTCAGAAGATGAAACACTACTTTCAAGCTCACGTCGTCCGTCTTATTTCTAAAGCCAACCCCATCAAATTTGTGATGTCGAAACATGTCCTTAATAATCGACTAGCAAGATGGTATCTCCAGTTTTAGCAATTTGAAATTGTGTATGTTCTTCAAAAGGCTGTAAAAGGGCAAGCATTGGCAGACTTCTTAGCAGACCACCCGATACATGATGATTGGGAACTCACTGATGAATTACCTGATGAGGATGCAATGGTTGTTGAAGTTCAACCGCCTTGGAAGATGTATTTTGATGGGGCCTCACATCGTGAAGGAGCTGGCGCTGGGGTAATATTTGTCACTTCTCGAGAGTAGATCTTGCCGTATTCCTTCACCTTAACGCAATGTTGCTCCAATAATGTTGCATTATATCAAGCCTTAATACTTGGGGTTGAAATGACGGTTGATATGAAGCAATTGCAATTACAAGTTTTTAGAGACTCTGAATTAGTGATCAATCAATTGTTGGGTAGCTATGAAGTCAAAAAGCCAGAATTGCGTCTCTATCATGACTATACACAAAAATTGATTAGATGGCTCGGAGATGTAACTCTTCAACATGTTCCAAGAAAGGAGAATAAGAAAGTTGATGCTTTAGCCGCTTTGGCTTTAACTTGAACTCTGCCTGATCAAGAGCAAATCACTATCTGCCAAAAATGGATAGTACCACTGGATGTGGATGAAGAAAGCAAATTTGAACATCTTGTAGCTGTCTCACAGGCTGAGATAGTCGATTGGAGACATGCTCTGATTGATTACTTGTGTTACAATATACTTCCAGAAGATCCAAAGAAAAGGACTGAAATTCGTCGTCGTGCTCCTAGGTTTCTTTACTACAAAGATACTCTATATCGAAGATCATTCGAGGGAATCCTCTTGCGTTGTTTGGGGGAAGAAGAAGCGATTCAAACTATGCAAGAAGCACATTCTGGAGTTTGTGGATCACATCAATCTGGGCCCAAGTTACACTTTCATATAAAAAGAATGGGGTATTGTTGGCCAACAATGGTAAAAGATTGCTTGGATTATGCTCGAAGATGTCAAGCATGCCAATTTCATGCAAACTTTATGCACCAACCTCCTGATGTATTACATCTGACTGTTGCATCTTGGCCATTTAATGCTTGGGGGCTAGATGTGGTTGGACCACTACCTAAATCTTTTGGTGGTCACTTGTACATCTTGGCTATGACAGATTACTTCTCAAAATGGGCTGAGGCTGTAGCCCTCAAAGAAGTAAAGAAGGAAAATGTTGCAAACTTCATCAGGGTGAACATCATCGTAATGGAAAGCCATTCACCAATAAATTGATGGATAAGATCTGCGACCTTTTTGGCTTCAAGCAACGTAATTCATCAATGTATTATGCTGCTGCAAATGGACTAGCTGGAGCATTTAACAAAACCTTGTGCAACTTGTTAAAGAAGGTCGTCTCCAAATCTAAAAGGGATTGGCATGATAGAATGGAAGAAGCTCTTTGGGCATACAGGACGACTCATCGTACGCCGACTCAAGCAACTCCCTATTCTCTTGTTTTTGGAACTGAAGCAGTCCTTACACTTGAACGAAAAATATCGTCATTGAGGCTTGCCATCCAAGAAGGACTTACTGAAGAAGAAAATGCTTGTCTGCGCCTTGAAGAGTTAGACTCTCTCGATGAGAAAAGGTTGGAAGCTCAACAAAGTCTTGAGTGCTATCAAGCTCGTCTTTCTCGTGCTTTCAATAAAAAGGTTCGCCTAAGGTCTTTCCAAGTCGGTGATCAAGTCCTTGTGGTAAGAAGACCAATTATCATATCTCATAAATTGAAAAGCAAGCACATCAAAATGGGATGGACCATATGTCATTCAAGAAGTCTATTCAAGCGGAGCTTACACAATTGTGGATGCAGACGGCTTGCAGATTGGTCCCATCAATGGAAATTTCTTGAAGAAGTACTATCCTTGAAGCGGCGTCATACTACTGGCCTGCAAGAGTATAAACTATGTACGGCTCCAAAAAAAAAAAAATGTCTGCTAGGTTGAAAATCTCGAAAGAGGCGACCTAGGCAAAAGTTAGGACACAAAAAATAAAAAAAAATAAAAATTCACTCTCTAAACTACGTAATGACTTGATCCTCTTCACTGAGGTACGTAGGCAGCTTAGAGTATTATCACTCTAGGTTCAGTCATTAAGAATTAAAAAAAAAAAACCATGTGAATTTCATGCTAATTCTTTCAAATGAAGATTCAAGCACCCAGATTTTGAGCTGACTTTGAAGACAAATCTGTATTAATCCGTAAATCCTATAGACGTGATTTTTATATGGATTGAAGCTCTCGAAGTTGTCTTTCCACCAAAAAAAGAAGCTCATTATTCCAGCGCTTCTACTCCACATTATGAATTTTCTTCCTCATGTGCGCAAAGCTGAAGAAAGCTGAAAATTCAAGCACGCGGATTTCGAGCTGACTTTGAAGACAAATCTGTATTAATCCGTAAATCCTATAGACGTGATTTTTATATGGATTGAAGATCTTGAAGTCTTCTTTCCAACAAAATAGGAAGCTCATTATTCCAGCTCACCTACTCCACGTTATGAATTTTCTTCCACATGTGCGCAAAGGTGAAGAATGCTGAAAATTCAAGTACCCAGATTTTGAGCTGACTTTGAAGAAAAATCTGTATTAATCCGTAAATCCTATAGACGTGATTTTTAAATGGATTGAAGCTCTTGAAGTCGTCTTTCCAACAAAAGAAAAGAATCTCATTATTCCAGCGCTTCTACTCCACGTTATGAATTTTCTTCCTCATGTGCGCAAAGCTGAAGAAAGCTAAAAATTCAAGCACGCGGATTTCGAGCTGACTTTGAAGACAAATCTGTATTAATTCGTAAATCCTATAGACGTGATTTTTATATGGATTGAATATCTCGAAGTCGTCTTTCCAACAAAAAAAGGAAGCTCATTATTCCGGCTTTCCTACTCCACGTTATGAATTTTCTTCCACATGTGCGCAAAGCTGAAAATTCAAGTACCCAGATTTTGAGCTGACTTTGAAGAAAAATTTGTATTAATCTGTAAATCCTATAGATGTGATTTTTATATGGATTGAAGCTCTCGAAGTTGTCTTTCCAACGAAAAAAGAAGCTCATTATTCCAGCGCTTCTACTCCACGTTATGAATTTTCTTCCTCATGTGCGCAAAGCTGAAGAAAGCTGAAAATTCAAGCACGCGGATTTCGAGCTGAATTTGGAGACAAATCTGTATTAATCCGTAAATCCTATGGACGTGATTTTTATATAGATTGAGGATCTCGAAGTTATCTTTCCAATAAAAAAAGAAGCTCATTATTCCGGTGCTCCTACCCTACGTTATGAATTTTCTACCTCATGTGCACAAAGCTGAAGAAAGCTGAAAAGTTAACGTTTTGTTGCTATCCTCATATAAACGCTAGCTTATGGAGTCTTTTTTTTAATAAGGAAAAGGGGCTCGTGGAAAGAAACAATCAAAATTCAAGAGGAGAAAATTCTTATTGAAATATAAGTCGCTATTTTATTGATTCAAAAAAAGAACCACTACACCATAATGAGCGAATTAGAAAATCCTAAGCAAATAAATAAAAAAATCTAACTATGGAAAAAGTTTGAAGCTTATGATTTCTTGGCGACTTTTCTCAATTGCCCCTTCTAGCTTGGCTAGTCTCTCAACTTCATCGTTAGACATCACATTATTTGCCTCAATGGTATAAATCTCGCCCTCCGTAATGGTGACATTCTCTTGACTTTTGGACAGCTTCTCTTGCTATTTGTTAATGAGCGCGGTCACTTTCTTTTTCTTGTAAGTCAAGGATTTTAAGTCTTTCTCCACATCTGCTAGAGTTGCTTGAAGTTTCTCCATGGATCCATACAACTTTTCATGTGCCATCTTTGCACCATCGAGACGACGTTGTGCATCAGAGAGAGCCTTTTCATGTGATTCTTTAGTCATCTTTGATGATCTTAAAGTATCATACTCTGTGTACGACTTGAAGAAATTCTCGACATGATCCTCCAAAGAAGAAACATCAATAATGTTTACCTTTCTAATCTCCTCAAGAGTTGAAGCGATACTTGACTCCAATTCTGTAAAGCCATCTGAAGAACCTAAGGAAAATTGTGTAATCCATCCACACAATGTGCCCCACATCTCAGAAACAAAGGTTAATTTGGCGCGGTAAATTGTTTCTTGCGGCTCAAAAGTAGGAGCACCAGGTCGCAATGGCCTACTTGGTGACTTTCTTGGTGGAGCTACTTCCAATGAAGGAATCACGTCATTAGAAGATGACTTTCTTGGTGGAACTACTTCCAATGAAGGCATCACGTCATTAATGGAAGAATGAAAATCTTTTGCAGTCGTATCAAGACAATTAAGATCTACTGTGAAATCTGCAACCACGCCATTGTTAAGGTCGCCACCATTTAGTTCTTGAAGGTCCAACTAAAAAAAAAGAAGTAAGAACAAAAAGATGATCAAATTCAAAACTTTGAAAAAAAAGATGAGGGGGCCTTAATTGTTTTGCCAATTCAAACAACGATGCCGAATTCGAATCCTCATCAACAAAGTCATTATCATCAATGACAATTGTATCTAAAATATCAATACCACACAAATATCATCTAGTTCTTGTGCCTTTCTTTTTGGACAATTCCAGTGACGATCCGTTGGACTAGGAGATGCATTGGGTCGTCTAACACCATCCGGTGAAGCGTACATATGAGAAATTTCATCACAAGGCGTCTCAAGGTTTGACGTTTGGTCATTACCATTGTCTGATAATACATGAAGTTCATTTGTTCCAGAAGAACTATGGCCAACTTCGGGAGCAGGTGAAGTCGACTTTGAGGCTAATGTGAGACGCCTCAATTTTGATTTCGCAGGCACATCCCCATCTTTCGAGGTTTTAGACTTGGATGAGGTCTTAGCGACTTGCAGAGTATCATTTGACTTCACTTGAGATTTGGAAGAAGGATGTGACTTTTCCTTTGATTGATCAGAAGCCCCTTTAGATGAAGTGGATGTAGAGTCTTGCTTCGTCTTCTTCAAAATGATGCGGAGGTTTCCTTGTGAAGTATTCATCCTTTGGGATGGCCACCAGTCTACATACTCGCGGGTCATTAAAGGAGCACCCTCTAATGGGCACATTGGAATCATGACTTTAGAAAAAGTATTAAGTCGAAAAGAGGAATTCCAAAGTTGCACCAATGTTAATAGTATACCATCGTAAGGACGCTCCACAAGATCTCTGGGAACATCTTGACAAAAACCGAATTGTCGACTAAATCTAATAGGGCTATAGGACTCCACGATGAAATTTGAATCATGCCTAAGGGTTACATAGCCTGAACAAAGGCTTATGATATATTCGTTCCACGAATTTGAAAGCTTGCCATTATCAGTAAGGTGCAAATCCCTCCCTTGCAGCATTGCTAAATGATGGAGGCGACGGGCATCATCCTGTTGAAATAACTTTTGGGCGTCAGTAAAATTAAAACACTTGGCCATCTTCTCGCCAGAAATTTTACAAAAACGTATCGATCGATGTGAACGACTGGCACGATGATGAGTCCCAAAGTATTCCCCAAGCCAACCATATACATAATGTATGGGGAAACTTATATTTGCCACACTCAAGTTTGAAGAACTAGAGATTTCTTTCAGGCCGCGATATATGCTTGCAAGAACTGGGACTGCTAAGGAGAATTTCTTTCCATGAGCCATCAAGCTCGCAACTTTAAAAATACTAGCGCGCACATGGTTGACTTTCTTATTCAGAAGAACAAATTTGCAATGCCAACAAGCAAAAAAGGCTGCCAAGTTAGTCTCATCTCTAAGTGATTCTTCCACATCTAACTCGACAAAGGGGGCATTCTCCTCATCAGTCCGCGGTAGGAAGTTCGAATCAATATGTCCAGAAGAATTGTGATTTAATCTTGGTTTTGTGGCTCGTACCTTTGACACCTTTTGCGGAGGCTCTGCATATCTATTAGGTCCTCTAAACCAAAACTTCACCCAATCATGGACGGACACCTCCTGGAGATCATCTTTCGCTAATTTGTAGAAGGCCAAAAACAAATATTGACAATTCTGGGGAAGAAGCAATTCTTTTTGTGTATCTGTTTGTGTCAATTCTTTCGCCGAGGGAACAACTTGGTCATAAAAGTTCCCATGTACGGGGAGACCTCCAATGGATTGTAAGTCCCAAAGTGATATGGACATCTCTCCAATGAAAGTAGAAAGCGTATTGGTAGATGGGCGCCAAAGTTCACAAAAAGCATGGAGTACATTGTCGTCATAGTT